CCTTGACTATAGTCGTAATGAAAAACAGCTGGATACTATTACATGATCTTGAAACAGAGAGAGAGAGACAAATTTACAAAATGGTAGATTTCCTCCCATTTCTCATTTTTTCCAGCCTTAAATTAATTTTGCTTAAATGGTTCTTGGCATTAGTTTTCTGAAGTAATAAGAAAACAGGATATTGATCTTCAAAAAAAAAAAAAAAAAAGAACCTACTGAAGTAAATACATAATCAATTGAGTACACAAAATAATATGAGATTTTCTGCCTGCTTCCTGCTAACATATGTATTTTTTTGCAGGCTACTTTATGTTTATTGGGGAGCAGGACTGGAAAATTTAGGAATCAGGAATACGGCATAACTACAGGTCAGCGGACAAAATGGAAATTGGTTAAGCTGATTTTTTTTTCTCACATTCCATACCTGGGAAAGATTTCTTAGGAGCCAAATCTACCACCTTCTTTCATGAACTTCCACTGGGAGTGTACCACTATCCATATTTTGGTCAAAGAATTTAGAAAAAGGCTTCTCTAAAGGTGTGTGTGTGTGTGTGTGTGTGTGTGTGTGTGTGTGTGTGTGTGTGGTCCATGACGGTGCTAAGGGGAATTCCAACTCAAGATAGGGGTCGTGGCCATCTGACGGAAGCTCTACCATTTTGAAATGTACCATGTAATAAGGCTGGGGCTTCAATGGCAGACACAGCTGTTGACTTGACTTTTTAGACACTTCCTCCTCCCCCATCCCATGGCTCTCTTAATCTACCTCTGCTCTTCATGAAAAGGTTATTTTTTTTGGGGGGGGGTGAGAAAAACAGATTTCCTTAAGTCTGTTTTTGACTTTGGTGACTGCCTAGACAAGTCCCTAGACAAGTTTTCTTGGCCAGTTTTTCTCAGAAGTGGTTGTCCATTTGCCTCTTTCCTAGTGCTAAATGAGACTGAGTCGCCCAAGGTGACTCAGCTGGCTTCGTGCTTAAAGTTAGACTAGAACTCACGGTTTCCTATTTTCTAGCCTGATGCCTTAAACCATTAGACCCAATTGACTTTCTCTTCATGAAAGTAGCCCAATTTTTTTCAAGCTTCTGATCAAGATCTCCTGAAGTATTAATACTTTACAATGCCTTGGTAAGGCCACACTTGGAATACTGCATCCAGTTTTGGTCACCACGATGTAAAAAAGATGCTGAGACTCTAGAAAGAGCAACAAAGATGATTAGGGGACTGGAGGCTAAAGCATATAAGGAACGGTTGCTGGAATTGGGTATGTCCAGTTTAATGAAGAGAAGGACGAGGGGGGACATGATAGCAGTGTTCCAATATCTCAGGGGCTGCCCGAAAGAAGAGGGAGTCAAGCTATTCTCCAAGGCGCCTGAAGGCAGGACAAGAAGCAGCGGATGGGAACTAACCAAAGAGAGAAGCAACCTAGAACTAAGGAGGAATTTCCTGACAGTGAGAACAATTAACCAGTGGAACAACCTGCTTCCAGAAGGGGTGAATGCTCCAACACTGGAAGTTTTTAAGAAGAGACTGGACAGCCATTTGTCTGAAATGGTATAGGGTTTCCTGCCTGAGCAGGGGGTTGAACTTGATGATCTCCAAGGTCTCTTCCAACTTTATTACTACTACTTACTACTACTACTACTACTACTACTACTACTACTACTACTACTACTACTACGCCTGAAAACAGATGGGATTGCTTTAAGGAATCAATTTGTTAAAGTGAACACGATTCTTAAAACAGCCATAGCACTTTTTTTTTCTGGTTCTGCAGAAGCATCAAGGAAACAGCTACTCTAACAATCAGCGGAGACCTAATGCTATCCTCGGAAGCACTTCTGAATAATTTTCAAAGGGTACATAAACCTAGAGGAGAGCATAAACTAAGGCTCTTCTTCTGGTCTCAAAAGACAAGGGTCTTGAAGGCAACCAGGTGTAGACCCAAGATTAACTAATGTAGGCAGAAAAAAAATATAAGTGATTCACACTTGGCTAGTACAATGTTTTCATTTTGAATTTGGAAATGTCTAGTTTCTAGTTGATTTGTTTTTCTCTGCTCGGGAAAGCTATTTTGAGAAGTCTTTTGAACAAAGTCATGACTGCTTACAATTCATTGGACAATTCATTACCCTCTATCCCTGCCCTTAAAAGCTTAAATCTTTTTCATACATTGTGAGCACTGCTTAAAATAGTCACTGCTTACAAATACACTGCAGTTTCTTTCAGGTCACACAGTGACCCCTGGTGCCAAGGATATTTTCGGTGACACTGATAAAAATGCATGGGTACCAACTTCGTCTTGGTTTTTTTGAGACAGAGGAGGCAGGGGAGAAGGAAAAAGGAGAATGGGAGAATCCTTCAATACTCTGCTTCTTCATCTCCCACCCTGTCAGATTTGGAAAAAGAACAAGGAATGCTTTTCACGTTCTGACAGCCCAGTGCAACTTTTCACATCCATATCCAACCTGAATGGTGGCAAACGTAACAACGGAAAAACTACACATTTATATCTGGGGAATATATGTGGAGGTCAGTGTTGTTGTTGTTGTTGTTAGTTGCGAAGTAGTGTCCAACCCATCGTGACCCCATGCACGACGTTCCTCCAGGCCTTCCTGTCCTCTACCATCTTCTGGAGTCCATTTAAGTGCACACCTACTGCTTCAGTGACTCCATCCAGCCACCTCATTCTCTGTCGTCCCTTTCTTCTCTTGCCCTGTTCAGGTGGACAGCTGTGCACCTGAAACAATTACTTGTTTGGGACTTGCTGAAAACAATACTGTCGAAACACCAAAAAAGGAAAAAATATGCTCTATGAACGCTTCATTTTTTTTTAAAGACAACAGTTAGCTTTTGAGGATCATGAAGCAGAAAACACAAAGATTGAATTTCAGGGGTTTCCAAATAGATGTATCTGTAGTAGTCAGATTGTCAATGAAACCCTACAAAAGTCAAACTAAATAGTAATTTGATTTCCCTAGTTCAACCATTATGTTGTGCTCTGTTATTATTTGGGTTGTTGTTGTTAGTTGCGAAGTCGTGTCCGACCCATCGCGACCCCATGGACAACGTTCCTCCAGGCCTTCCTGTCCTCTACCATCTTCTGGAGTCCATTTAAGCTCATGCCTACTGCTTCAGGAGCTCCATCCAGCCCCCTCATTCTCTGTCGTCCCGTTCTTCTCTTGCCCTCAATCTTTCCCAGCATTAGGCCCTTCTCCAGTAGGTCCTTCCTTCTCATTAGGTGGCCAAAGTACGTGAGTTTCAACTTCAGGATCTGGCCTTCTAAAGAGCAGTCAGGGTTGATCTCCTCTAGGACTGAACGGTTTGATCGCCTTGCAGTCCAGGGGACTCGCAGGAGTCTTCTCCAGCACCATAGTTCAAAGGCCTCAATTCTTTGTCGCTCAGCCTTTCTTATGGTCCAACTTTCACAGCCATACATTGCAACTGGGAAAACCATGGCCTTGACTATAGCAAATGCAATAACAAACACTTTTTTTCTAGTGCAAAAGGCTCAGAAAGTCATGGTACCATATTCACTAACGAGGGTGAAGGTCTGTTCTCCGAGCTTGTGGGTTGGTTTCTGAACATTTCGTTACCAGGCGAGGTAACATCTCAAGTGCAGTTTAGGGGGTGTCAGTGTTCTTCTGTTTATAAGGGCTTCAGGTGTAGATGTGTCAAGTGAGGGTCTTGTGATGGGTGTTGTGATGGGTCAGATGTGAGTCATCAATGAGAGGCGTGTGATGGGTCTTGTGATGGGGAGGTTACATCAGGCCAGGGTCCTTGGGAGGTGAACTGCATGGGTTGGTTGAGGGTCGGTGCCGTCTCTGGTTGGCTGTGCAGTTGATTTGGATTCTGAGGGGTTCATGGGCTGGTTGTAGGTTGGTGTGTCTGTTGCTTGTGGAGTGCCAGGCTTTGATGAACTCACGAGCGTGGCGGGTGGTAGCGTGGCCAATGATTTTGGTGTTGCTCCAATCGAACTGGTGCTGTTTGGTGTCGCTGTGTGTAGAGATTCATGATTTGGGATCGTGGCGATTGACTGCCAGCTGGTGTTCATGGATCCTGGTTTTTAATTGATGTGATGTTTGTCCCACAGAGAACTGGTTGCAATGGTTATAGCTGACTTTGTAGATTACATGGTTCCTTTCATCCTTCTGTGTCTCGTCTTTGGTTCTGGATGATTCCTAGTGGAGAGTGGCTGTGGGTTTGTGGGCTATTGCTATTTGTAGGGGTTCATTAATATTCACTAATCTTTTGATTAAAAAAAAATCTTAGATCACAAACCTGTGCAGAGATACTTGGGGTGTGGCTGTTTTTAAAATACATTCTTGTCTTTCAGTTCATAGAAAGAAATAATACTTGGAAAGTGAATGCTTTCTCTCATTTAATGACAAAGAGAAAACCACTTACTGCCACCTGTAAACTGCAGGAAGCAGCTTAAGTGACACAGCGGATGGAATCTGACGAGCTCTTAAGAGCCTTGATATTTACGATGTGGGGAAATGGCAATTTTTCTTTATTTTTTAACCCAGAAAAAAGTTACCCATTTTTAAAAAACAGTGAAATTATGTTAATTATAAATATGGAGTTGTGAATGTGTAAGGTCATTATTATTTTATTATTTACGTATTTTGGGGGGGGGGGTAGATTTGTGCCTTGTCTTTCTTCCAGGAAGAAAATAGGGCATAATGGAGTGGACATTTAATTGCCATAATGGGTTTTTTTTACATTCCTCAAAATACTTAACGGACCACTGTAATTATATCAGTTAACAGGACAGATAAACAACTGCCACAAAACAGAAGTTGGGCCATCAATGAATCCCTATCACTAATCATCATCTGATAATGTTATATATATATTCTACCACTGATCTTCTTGCAAGGTGCCCCCAAAAGTACAAATTTCAGATAGGAAATTAATAGGGGGGGAATAAATGGAGTTGTCTGCTTCTTAATAAAATGCTGCACATCAGATGTCATTGCAATCATACATTACGACTGCTTTACCTTCATAAACATGCTGAACCCCGTTTTTAGAAGATCTGTAAGCCCAGAAGACATGTGTTCAATATCAACAGGGTCCGGTCGATCAGGATTGTAAATCTCTTCCAGCACTTGCTTCATCAATGGTTTATAAGATGCCTAAAAAAAAAGAGATCACTCCTAGTTGTTAAAATTAAATACATTACATTTTCAAAGTGAACATGACAACTAATAAACATATGTACAAACAGGAAGTTGTTTTCCCCTAAGACAGGGGTAGGCAACCTTGACTCTTTTATGACTCATGGACTTCAACTCCCAGAATTCCTGAGCCAGCCATGCTGAGGGGAAAGGGAGAGTTTCCAAGTTGAGCCATGCTGGCTCAGGAATTCTGGGAGTTGAAGTCCACGAGTCATAATGCGGCCTAGGCCTAGCCCAGAGGTAGGCAACCTTGGCTCTTTTATGACTCGTGGACTTCAGCTCCCAGAATTCCTGAGCCAGCCATGCTGAGGGGAAAGGGAGAGGTTTCCAAGCTGAGCCATGCTGGCTCAGGAATTCTGGGAGTTGAAGTCCACGAGTCATAAAAGAGCCAAGGCTGCCTACCCCTACCCTAGGAAATTGAGGGATAGTGCCTTGTTGGTATTTTTAATAAAAAGAGAGGTTATGCTCTCAATAGATGTTTAAACTGTGTTTCCAATTTGAGGTGAACTAATTCATTCTTGTATCGGGAAAAAATAATCTCTAAGGGATAGTGATTTAAAAGGGGTCTCCGGCTATTAGTCTGAATGTTCACTGGCTCTGTTAAAAAATACAACTGCCCAGCTTCAATGAAAATAAAGTTAGCCCCTTCAACTTTAAATGAAACTTGAAGTGGGGAAAACTGCACAGAAAGAAAATAGTCTGAAACAGCTGCCTTTGCTCAAAAGATCGGTTTGAAATAGCATTCGTTCGTTCATTCATTCCATTCAGTCTTATGCAAGACTGGTGTTAAGCTTGCCTCTTATTGTCCAGGACAGGAATACATTACATGAGCTAATGTGTTTCTGCAGCATCAGGAGATGAATACCATCCATCCATAATCAGTTTTTTACTGGGATCCATCCATCATACACTCAGGTTTTAACAAATATAAATGACAGGTTTCAGGTTTTGCAATAGCATGCAGTAAGAGGCAACTGCTTCAGGATAAGCCACTTGGAAGGGGTCTAGGACAACTGCCGGCCCGCAGGCCGGTTGCATCATACGGAGGCCGCGCCCACCCCAGCTCCGGCAATGCAAAAAAAAAAAAAAAATCACGATACGTCGTGACATGTCATTTGACACGGTGAGTTTGACACCCGTGGACTAGGACAACTCGCCATGGCCAACTCACCGCACGAAAGAGTTACGGTAATATTGGAGAAATAGTGGAATAGAATCATTCTATTCTATTCTATTCTATTCTATTCTATTCTATTCTATTCTATTCTATTCTATTCTATTTGAATTCTTCATTTCTCTATTCTATTCTATTCTATTCTGTTCTGTTCTGTTCTGTTCTATTCTGTTCTATTCTCCATTCTATTCTATTCTATTCTATTCTATTCTATTCTATTCTATTCTATTCTATTCTATTCTATTTGAATTCTTCATTTCTCTATTCTATTCTATTCTATTCTATTCTATTCTATTCTATTCTATTCTATTCTATTCTATTCTATTCTATTCTATTCTCTATCCATATTCTATTCTATTCTATTCTATTCTATTCTATTCTATTCTATTCTATTCTATTCTATTCTATTCTATTCTACTCTCAAATGGATTTTCCTCTTAATAAAAACAGAATAGTAATCTTGATCTCATGCTGATAATTCTAAACAAATAATACAGATGGTTGTTAGGTAAATAATTTCACTGACATTACAAACCACTCTTCTTTCGTGATATTCTTCAATTGCGCTGCATTAATCATTACTGAAGCTGGATGGTTTGAATTCCCTGAAAATCTCTGTAGAAGACCACGTATTTGAATAGCACTCTCCCCATGATTAAAATAAATACGTATTGTGATATAAATGTACACATTGTTAGAATGATGCAGGATTAAACTGCAACATAACTAAAAGCTTTTAGTTAGTGAAAAATACTACTGTACTCACTTGTATGGATGTATGCAATTACTATATTGTAAATCTAAAGTACTGAACAATGAATAGCAACAATTTAAGGAGGAAGCTTATAATTTGAAAAAATTAGCGGCAGGCAATATTTCTTACTTTTGCTATTCCAGGAAAGCCCTTTTCTAGTTTTCTTAGAAAACCCATTGCTGAATCAAGCTGTGGCGATTATAAACAGAAATGCCACTTACCTTAGGGGGGAACAAAATGAAAAACAAATGAGAAACTAACCACTTAATCTGAACAACTTGAAAGAAAGCTTATTTTCCAAAGCAATTATGGCCATCAACATTTACTTCCTCGTCCAGCCTTTTAGAACATCAACATATTTTTTTTCTTCCACCCAAGCACAAAAGATGCGCTAGGCAAAACGTCCTGGTGCACACATTTTTACCCTCGTCCTAGGACAGTGGTTCTCAACCTGTGGGTCGGGACCCCATTTGGGGTCGAACGACCATTTCACGGGGGTCGTCAAACAACGCAGTCCGCCATTTTTTCCCCCCTTTTCCTTAGCTGTGCTGCTCCCTTTTATTCTATTGGCTTTTGAAAGCCAATAGAATAGACTCTCTTGAATAGACTCTAATTCTATTGGCTTTCAAAAGCCAATAGGAATTGTCCAGGCTGTCTCTGCCCTGCTGAGCCGCCAAAAGTCCCATTCTGCAAACGGTGCTGCACCAGTTGAGTAGTCCTCGACTTACGACCGGTTGATTAGTCCTCGATTTACGACCGGTTGGGGGTCGTGGCATTAAAAAGGTTGAGAACCACTGTCCTAGGAGATGCAAATCTTCATTGTATTGCTTGTTGTGAACTCAATAAGAAACATATTTTTGGAATAGGAGGTATTGGGGTAAGATACCAAAACAGCAAATGTATGGAATTAAGAAGAATAACTTTTTTTGGGGGGGGGGATGTAATGAAGAACCGTTTGGAAAGCAAGTCACATTTAACAAGTGGAACTTATTAACAGTGATTTGTCACCGAGTCTGCAACCGCTGGTTAACTATCCACTAAGGATGGTCACTTTTTTTTCATATGCAGCTTGTGTATAAATTATACTAAGATTAAAGTAAGCCTATCATTTTTGGTCCAGCGTAATGCAACCTGAAGCTTCTGTACCTGGAATTTGCTACCGTATCAAGGTGAGGGCATGAAAAGGTTCTGCCTTTGTTGTAAGGCGTTGTGGTTACGGTTTTGTCTCTCTCTTTTTTTTTTTTTGGCTTTATGCTGCAATTAATTTCATTGTTGTCTCCTCTGACCGATGGGAGGGGATAGGGTGCAAACACACTGACATCGGTGGAGGGAATAGGGTCAAGATCATACATCATGAGGTGATATTCAGTTACCAGTGCTGCTGACCTATGTTGTCCCACACGACTCCATCTTGCCCAGCACATTGTTCAAAATGAGCCGAGGTGGCGCAGCAGTTAGAGTGCAGTACTGCAGGCCACTTTAGCTGACTGTGTTCAGCAGGTCAGCGGTTCAAATCTCACCGGCTCAAGGTTGACTCAGCCTTCCATCCTTCCGGGGTAGGTAAAATGAGGACCCAGATTGTTGGGGGCCAGATTGTTGGGGGCCATGTAAATATATATATACACATACATACATACATACATACATACATACATACATACATATACACACACACATATATACATTGCTTACTGGTGTACACCACTTAGATAGTGCTTGCACTTAAAGCGGTATATAAGTCTCATAAATAAATAAATAAATAAAATCTGCCTAAAACCACTAGAAAAGGTTGCCCAACAGTTTGGAGAAGAGTACCGTAACTATGCTGATGACAACCAGGTTTATCTCCAGCAAAAGACCAGGTAAGCAACTGGTACCTTTATGCTCTGCTTAAATTCACCAGTGGGCTGGATGAGAACAACCTTAATAAGCTAAATCCCCCAAAGATGGGGGTGATGCTGATAAACAGCAGACTGACTTTGAGAAGTTAGGTTCAACTTCCTTAGATTGGGATTACCAATTTGTCTGAAACATGAGCTTTGCTATCTGGCGGGCTCCTTGATCCTCAGCTGTAGCTATTTTTTTTATTTTTTGCTGTGACAAGGGGTGGTTTTATACAGTTATGCCTGATAAACAATCGGTTCCTAAAGCCACAGCAAGAGCAGAGCAGAAAGACGAGGTATAACAGAGAGAGTGGGGTGGTGGTGGATTTTATTCTTTAATCTGTATGCTTTTAGAAATTTATGGGAATGCTGGTTGGATGGCAACCGTAAAGCAGCCATCATTCAAATGGATTGCTTCAGTTTTAGCCATTACTCTGAAAAAACGTGATGGCCCACGGAGGCAAGAACTATTCCAGAAACCCACTTGTGGGGAGCAGAATGGATTTTATATCTGAACATGACACAATTGGTCACGTTCAGGAAAATGTAGTTTTGGCTGCCTGCCAGGGTGAAAGAGGAAAACTGATTAGAAAAACACATGTCAACTTGCCTGTTGGCTGTGGCTCCCCGGGATATGTAGAGAATTAAACTGTTTCATTTGTGACCGGACTCTTGTAATGTCCCTTAGGCTCTTGAATATCTCATTCACTGCAGCCGTGGCTTTTGGAAACGTAACCTTGGTGGAAGACTCACAACCTGAAACAAGGGAAAAAAAAGTTGGGGAAAAGTTGTTTTCAGGCTGGCTTGCTCCTACAATTTGAGGTTTTCTTTCTTCTCCTGCTGGGGTCTGGAAAACTTGCCAAACAGCCACTAAAAATGCAATCAATTTGAAGGCCACATTTGATAAGTTACAGCAGAGAATTAAAAACAAATCTTTTTTACTCGGCCCAGAGTTTTTAAAGAGTCACCAGCCCACATTATTCAGCTACAAAAGAAAAGAAAAGAAAAGAAAATTGAAGTCTGGTTATATTATCAGAAAAGAGACATTACGAGTTTTACCCTGAGAAAACGCACACCCTGATGCTTACACAAATGACGTTTTAGTTTTCTTTATACTCCAGTTTATATAACAGTCATACATATAGTCATAAGGCAGTGATTCTCAACCTGTGGGTCGGGACCCCATTTGGGGTCAAACGACCATTTCACGGGGGTCACCAAACAATGCAGTCCACCATTTTTCCCCCTTTTCCTTAGCTGTGCTACTCCTTTTATTCTATTGGCTTTTGAAAGCCAATAGAATAGACTCTCTTGAATAGAGTCTAATTCTATTGGCTTTCAAAAGCCAATAGGAATTGTCCAGGCTGTCTCTGCCCTGCTGAGCCTGCCAAAAATCCCATTCTGCAAACGGTGCTGCACCAGTTGAGTAGTCCTCGACTTACGACCGGTTGAGTAGTCCTCGACTTACGACCGGTCGGGGGTCGCGGCATTAAAAAGGTTGAGAACCACTATCATAAGGCCTTTCTGTCTCAATTTTGCGGCCACCGATTTTTAAAATAAACCTACCCAGATAGCTGAACATATAGTTAAATATATTTTTGTGAATGAATTTTCCCACAAAGAGTGACCATAATAATAATAATAATAATGATGATGATGATGATGGAATGGACCCTCTAGGTCAGTGTTTCTCAACCTTGACAATTTTAAGGCATGTGGACTTCAGAATTCTGGGAGTTGAAATCCACATGCCTTAAAATTGTCAAGGTTGAGAAACACTGCTCTAGGTCATCTAGTCCAACCCCCTGCTCAGACAGGAAACCCTATACCAGTGGTGGCGAACCTATGGCACACGTGTTAGAGGCGGCACTCAGAGCTCTTTCTGTGGGCACGCGTGCTGTGCCCCGGAGATAGCGAGGGACTGGTCCCGCCCACCCAGTGCGCCATGACCACTGTGGCCACGCCCACCCAGCACCCGGTGATAAATAAGTTGGTTTTGGGTTGCAGTTTGGGCACTGGGTCTCTAAAAGGTTTGCCATTACTGCCCTACACCATTTCGGACAAATGGCTGTCCAGTCTCTTCTTAAAAACTTCCAGTGTTGGAGCATTCACCGCTTCAGGAGGCAGGTTGTTCCACTGGTTAATTCTTCTAACTGTCAGGAAGTTTCTCCTTAGTTCTAGGTTGCTTCTCTCCTTGATTAGTTTCCATCCGTTGCTTCTTGTCCTGCCTTCAGGCGCTTTGGGGAGTAGCTTGACTCCCTCTTCTTTGTGGCAGCCCCTGAGATATTGGAATACTGCTATCATGTCCCCCCTCGTCCTTCTCTTCACTAAACTAGACATATCAATTCCCGCAACCGTTCTTCATTAAGTTTTAGCCTCCACTCCCCTGATCATCTTTCTTGCTCTTCTCTAATAACCATTCTCCATTTCATCTGAATTCGTGACATGACTCTGTGCCAGCAACTTTTTTTTTTCCTGTCGGTCCTTCATGATGTTATACTGCTTATACCAGTGGTTCTCAACCTGTGGGTCGGGACCCCATTTGGGGTCGAACGACCATTTCACGGGGGTCGCCAAACAACGCAATCCGCCATTCCCCCCCCCCTTTTCCTTAACTGTGCTACTCCCTTTTATTCTATTGGCTTTTGAAAGCCAATAGAATAGACTCTCTTGAATAGAGTCTAATTCTATTGGCTTTCAAAAGCCAATAGGAATTGTCCAGGCTGTCTCTGCCCTGCTGAGTCCCATTCTGCAAACGGTGCTGCACCAGTTGAGTAGTTCTCGACTTACAACTGGTTGAGTAGTCCTCGACTTACTACCGGTTGGGGGTCGTGGCATTAAAAAGGTTGAGAACCACTGGCTTATACTGTCCCTGCCCATACAGTACTCGTTGCAGGTTTACATTTTCTTCATCTTCATTAGTAGTATTTTATTTATAACCAGTCAACCACGGAAGGCAGTTTTACCCTGGGTACAATTCACAATGCTTGGTCTACCATTTTGCCTCTGGACTGCCAGGTGACCCACAGGAGCTGAAATTGACAGCAAAGCCGATTCCAGGTGTTCCCTTTACAAAGCTTTTTCTCTCTCCTACAATGAATTGCTGTTGTGTGGCTTGTTCAGTTGTTCATTTGAATACCGTCTTCCTCGAATCCACCATTCCCACTTTCAATTCAGAAACAAGAGTACAGAGGCAGATCTTGCCCGATACTAAGAAAATCTAACACAGTACAGATAATAGAAAATGTATTCACCAGTTAAGCAGGATGTTGAGCATCTTGTCACCATACCAACAACCCAAGTATTTATATAGCAACTGTAGGATGAGGGGGAGGAGGAAATGTTAAAACAACACTCTGTGTGGGGATAAATTTCTGTCATTAGTTCTAACACATAATATTATTTTTTTTTAACTAATAAGACTAAAATGTTCAGACCGCCCGGATCCTTGGCAACCTACTAAGTCATTTATTAGGACAGCAGTAGCAGGCTTCGGCTAGTTTGAACTAGTCTTGGAAAATAAAGTCAGAACATTTCTGCTCTCTTTGTAACAAGGCCACGTGAGTGTTTATTTGAACTTTTACAGATGCCATAACTCTCTCGAGCTATTTTTACCTTGGAGAGCAGAGTTGAAAAACCGTTATTTTAAAAGAAGGAATAAACTCACTATCATCGCAACCTGTAGTTGTGTAAATATAAAACCAGTCTCTTGCAAAAAATAATAATAATAAAGGAATGAACAATTCAAGCTGGTTGCTAATACCCACCCACCCCCCCCGCTTTTATGAAAAGGGTTGATGCAGGTGGTTGCTGGGTATCTCCTGTAGTTATTGGTTAATCCTGATTTTCTAGAATTATTCTCATACAGCGTTTCTCAACGTTCGTGTGACGGCGACCCCCGTCACACGAATGTGTGCGCCGCCGCCCCCTGAGGGGGGAAAATGGCGGATCGCATTGTTTGGCGACCCCCGTAAAATGGTCGATCGACCCCAAATGGGGTTGCGACCCATAGGTTGAGAACCGCTGTTCTAATACATCTTTGGAACAGGAATCTCGGTGACCTCTGGTATTTCTCTCAAAAATGACACTCAGTCCTATCTGTCATGGCATCCTTCTGCACAGGTAAAGATTGAAGTGGTCCATTTCCCACTTGGATGCGTAGTTCCAGGAGACAGAACTGCACTAGTGGCGAAGAGCCAAAAAGTGAGGATGGTAGTTACAGCAACCCAATTCACCACACAAAGGGTGCAGTATGATCTGGACGAATATACCGCCGTTCTAGAACTGAAAAGGTCTTAAAAGTTGCCAAGTTTGAAGACCCCTGAACTAGTGGAACCGCTTGTCTTCAGAAGTTGTGGATGCTTCACCACTAGAGGCTTTCAAAAAGAGACTGGACAACCATTTGTATGAAGCAACCATTTGTATGAAATGGTATAGGGTCTCCTGCTGGAGCAGGGGGTTGGACTAGATGACCTCCCAGGTCCCTCCCAGCTCTCTTCTGAATTGAATTGAAATTGGACTGGTCCTCTGCCACATACACACTTCTGGTGGGGCTCTTGGTAAGGAGACAGGAGTGTGACTGAATGTGAGGGCTGAAGTCACTTGAGCCCTACAACTGTCTAGGTCAGGGGTAGGCAACCTTGGCTCTTTTATGACTCGTGGACTTCAACTCCCAGAATTCCTGAGCCAGCCATGCTGAGGGGAAAGGGAGAGGTTTCCATGCTGAGCCATGCTGGCTCAGGAATTCTGGGAGTTGAAGTCCACGAGTCAGAAAGCGGCCTAGGCCTAGGCCAGAGGTAGGCAAACCTTGGCTCTTTTATGACTCGTGGACTTCAACTCCCAGAATTCCTGAGCCAGCAATGCTGAGGGGAATGGGAGAGGTTTCCAAACTGAGCCATGCTGACTTGGGAATTCTGGAAGTTGAAGTCCACCAGTCATAAAAGAGTCAAGGTTGCCTACCCCTGGTCTAGGTGTTGGCTTCCCATGTGAACAGCACGGTTCCTGTCTGTCCCCAGAGGACAATTTTTTATTAATGCTCACAGACCTGCTTATTGGACTGCTTTTAGGACTGCTTACAAACTGGTCACTGGAAGGTGAAGATTCTGGCCTGGTTTACTGGTGTAGGATCAATAGCTAATCAGGAATGTGGCCGTTGCTAACTCCATTTTGAGTTGCAGGGGCTGTAGGGATCAAAATATGGCACTCTTGAGGTTTCCAATTCAGAAATTAACCCTCTTGTCCACTACACTTTGAATTGTATACCTCAAAGAAGCTTAACTCTAACCACTCTTTTCACATTATATCTCAAGATAATTTTCAACCCTGAAAGTTACACCTTAAAGGTAGCCCCCATACAATGTAGTTCTACCATTGCTTCTAAAGAGCCACTGGAAAGTAAAACCTGCAATAAGATTTAAGCATGCAAATCGAGGAAGCTTAATGCTAATTTAAACTTTACACTTGACTGCAATGCAAATGTTTAACCCTAAAAAAAAAAACCCCTGGCAGATATTCCCATACTACATAACTTTATGAGTATTATTATGCATAAAAATTCACCCTAAAGCTCACCTTGCCACAAAAAAATAACCACAAAACTCAAGGAAGCCTAATGCTTGATTCTATCTTTACCGTTATCCAACAGAAATCTCAAAGTTACTCTTGGCAATTAAGTGTGACATCACCAATCCAAAGGCTACAACTATTCATAAAAACTTGTCTGCAAAAGGTTTCTCATTGTATTTTGACCCACAGAC